ATAGAAATACACTTTCTGATTCTTACACAAAAGCTGCCTTTGGCAGTGATAATGATCTTCACTTGGATGGCAAAACTGATGAAACCATCAAAGAATACCCGCATATGGACGATACATAGTGGGGTTTCAGGTATTAGGCTATCATTTGAAGAAAGACTGTGTAACATGTGGAGAGACATTGCATCTTTCGTCATACATTTGAGAAAACAGATATGGCTTAGATAATTTGAAATAAATTAAAGTTTCATTGTGTGCTTTACTCACTGGCATCCCATTAAAAGAAGTTATCTATCCCTTGATTATACTGTATAGTTTGTTTTCTAGGAATACTATTAAATATTTTTTTTCTTCTATTTATACAAAGGAGAAGCTTTAAAGTCAAATCCAACAAATGTATTTCTTTACACATGTATCATTAAAATCCACAGGTCATAAAATATTTGCACAGAACATTTAATAAATTCATTGTGATGGAATTTTGTAAATTAAGAACAATTTTAGACAAGAAACTTGGTTTTTGTTTTATTTTTTTGTTTTTCTTTACTTTAAAAACTTTTTGATTCATTGGCTGTGCTGTACAAGTGCAAAATAATCATAGCAAGGCCAACAAATTGTCACTTGTGAAGGAAGGTATTGCCTTTATATAAGGCATATATAATTTAAAAGGTTTCGACTTCAGAAGGGTTTATGACTTTTTTGAACTTGAGAATACAAAGGATAATACTTTGTTTGCAACATTTACACAAATGTAATAATAAACAACTCCTAAAGTTTAATTTACCGTCCATAGTTTTTGAAAAAACGTACATTTTAAGCATTGTAAGAATGAATTATTTGAAGAAATTTACGCTTAATATAATAAAATGACAATATTTGAAGGTGAAGGACCAAATAAAAATGATTTTTGTGACATTAAGACTCATACCTAATGGTAATCATATAAGTATTTATACACCAACATATGATTAAGGAGTTTTCTTGAATAACAAATCGACCACAACGGGTTTATATACTGGTAACAACAACTATAAACTCTGTCTGTGGCTAAGACCATTTGTCATCAATATAAGAAACACTTTTTCTTTTTGTAAGCAAAATGCAAATGTTGAGGTAAGGGTTAAAAATCGCAGATGAACTTCCGATGTTTTGATAATAGCAAAACGACAGGAAAAATATCTTCATCGCTGGAGAACGTCTTTGGCTGAAAATAAAAACAGAAGTAAAGAAACTTGTTTCATGCTGAATTTAATCTTATTAACGTTGATATTATTTGGTTTCTTATCACAATTGAGTCAATATCAGATTTATTCCTAGATTTTGTTATTTTGCTACAAGTGTGTGGATGCTTAATATATTCCTGACTACAATATGGAATAATTTTCCCCCTGAGCAATGACTGCAGTGGAACAAAAACTTATTTATAGTCATGTTATGTTTCTCTCTTTGATTGGTAAGAACTTTAGCATGGTGGCTCAGATGCAACATTTGAAAAACTAGTGAATTCATTTTATTTGAGAAATGCCAACTTTGGTATTAAGGTGTTATCATAATGGTAATCTTGCGAAAGTTTCGCAAAACATGGTTTACAACTAAACAAAAGAAAGCCAGATTGTTCTGCAAGTTTCGCATGCTAGGTTTCGTTGTCGGTTGTCACGTATAGTCAATCAAGGTATTTCCAAAAAATATTTTTAAATGCATCGTTGTTTTATACATTCCAGAATACTAGTAATGTGTGAATATTTTCTATGTGTCTTTTCTATACTCAAAATACTATGAATCCAAACATGCAATTCGTATATGATTTATCCCTTCGTTAAAAAACGATATTTTTGAAAGTGACCCCCCCCCCCCAAAAGAAAATCGACGTGTATAAAGTGTGCGAAAATCTCTTTGTATATCATGAAAAATTTGCATATATGAAAAAAGGTAAGAGCATAAAACACGGACCCCTGATTAATATTTGGATGTTTTACTGACACTTGACGATGAGGATCAACTAACAACTACATTGTAAGACAAACAAGATGACTTCAGTTTCTCCATCGTCAATTTTCCATATTTATGTAGTAATATTCCGCTATCACCTGCATATAGTGTTTATGTGTCCAAATTATTTGATACTCAAGAGCATGTTCTGAGTACGATCATTTTTTAAACTAAGGCAGGTTACTGACAGATATATTGATGTTACTTGGATTTCAACAACCCCGTTTAAAGTCAGCATTTTGTAATTCTATGGTCGTTATAATGACCTTATTAGCAAATATATAACCTATCACTGGATCGTTTTTTGACTGACATATTTCATACAATTTTTGTTGTTGTTTTTGTTTTTATACTTGATTCGAGTACGAAATACAGGCCCCACGGCGGGTGCTTACTCCTCCTAGGCACCTGATCTCACCTCTGAAATTTCCATGGGTCCGATGTATGCCCTGTTCAAAGAATTGTATTGTCTTGTGTGTGTGTGTGGGGGGGGGGGGTTCGATCATTGTTCATTTTCATTTTCCAACCCTAAACAAAATCAATTGATACTACTTTACCCAATCTGTCATTAGAAATTAGAAAAATATTTGAAGATTAAATTTCTTTTTTCTTTGGGGAAGAAAATTCCATTAAGTAGAAATACTATTATTCAAGACGACAGAGAAGGTGGTCTTAGGATGGTAGATTATTCTGAATTTTGTTAGCAATTAAATGAAGCTGGATAAGAAGATTAATCTATTCCGATTTCAAGTGGGTAAAATTACGAAAGTACAATTGCATACAGATATTAAAAATCTTAAAATCTTCATTAATGGGTCCATACTTTACGGCAAAATTATTTAAGAAAATAACAAAGAATATTTGGATATATGTCCTTAGAAGATGGCTTGAGTATCTCATAAAGAACAACAGAAAAATACAAATATATTTCTAGAACACATAATTTAATCCAATGGGTACTGCATGGAGGTCATAAACAAATTTCAATAACGCAAGGGCATACCCTAAGTCAGTGATAAATAGTTTCTACATATCTTGTAGTTTCTGGGAAGTGCTGCTGCTTTAAACAGAATTTGCATTTTATTATTTTAAATTTCAAGTTATCAGACTCAAGGTGAAATATGTGTGACCTTGACTATATGATATTTACTATTTTTTAAGTAATCCCGATTTCACGAAATCAGCAGGAATGTTCAAGTTAAGGAAATCTTTGATTAATGGGTCCATATTTTACTGCAAAATTATTTAAGAAAATAACATTCTTTATGTATATTCAAAAAATGGTGAAGATCTACAAAGGGTATGTCTTTGCGAAAAGGCGATTTAATGAGACACCTCGATGTTAAACACGCCAACTCTGTACACAAAAACACGATAGAATTAATGCAGTACATTCGTTCGATGATAATTAAATAGTGGCACTAAACAAAGGTTTCGCATCAGTATTCATCGTCTAACTAACATTTCTAAATTAAAAATATTCTCTTCCTTTATTAAAATGCATTTTTTTACTGTGAAAAAATTACTTGATCCACCTCCACTCCACAAAAATGCGTCAACTTTTACTACGATGATGTCTGACCTTTGGAATGATATTGAAGAGTGGTTTTTATTTAAGTTTAAAATATCTGTATATATGTATTTTGACGGACAAAGAATATTATTCAGTAAATATAAAAACAAGAATGTTTATAAAGAACAAAATTTAATTACGTTGATAATCAAGGATTATAATTATTTCAATTAAGTACATGTATAAAAGCATCCAGTTCTATGTGCAACGGCAACGGCTCTAAAAATGAAAACGGTGAAGATAACGAACAGTGAGGTATCATTGTGAAAAGAATCATGATAGAGATTTTTTTATTATTATTCAAACAATGTAAATATACAGGATATATATGATATGTTGTAAATTATGTGTACGAATGTAAAATTTCATTACAAATGAATTTTACTCATTACCTACTTAATCTATATAAGTACTGTGTCTCGTATACTATTTGACCCCCCTTCCTTCTCATTTGTTTCCCTTTTTTCCTCCTGTTTATAAAAACGTCATTCACAAAAGTATATATATTTAATATTTACATGTACATGATTTATTAATTTGATGTAAATGTGAAAGTTAAAATAAACATATACAAAAAAGCAAAAATAAATAAATAAAAACAAACAAACAAATGAATAAATAGATAAACAAACGAATGACTAAATAAAATAAATAAAAAAAAACACCCCCCCCCCTATTTTTATTAATTTTTTTCTTTTGTTTTTATGTATATTTATGTATTAAAGAATTTAAGATATATTTACAAATAACTGTCTTTTAAGAAAAATGTTTGCTTGTTTCTTTGTTTTAAACTTCCCTTTAAGAATTTTTAACTCCTATTGAGAGGCAACCACTCGCCGGTTGGGGCTGCAAATTAAGACTTGTGCTCGGCTCTCACGGCCTGTGAGCAGTGAGGGATTTTTTTCGAGCCAGCACCTACTGCGACGTGCGACCTCGTTTTAAATATACGGTCTATCTGAAGGACCAGCCTCCACGTCCCGCAGTGGGATTCAAACTTCGACATACGGATCAACTCTACTCCGCGACTCTAGAGAAAAAGCTCCTACCACTGCATCACGCAGGCGACTCAAGAAAAATAAAAATATGTATTAAATGCTACAAATTATTTTTGGTAGTTGTGTTCTGCAGTACTCTAAATTAATATATACACCTTGACAAACAAAGGAATATCTATAAGAAAGTAAAAAGAATTATTTTATTTCTCTTGGTACATTACACTTCTAATATAATTAGGAATTTGTAACACTGACCTAAATCTAAGGTAAAAAAGGGTTACGCAAAAACAAAAAAGACAAGCTATCAAAAAATTAGGTGACAGGTATTTTTTTTTTTTTTATTATTTCATGTCAATTATACTACATGTGCTCAAGTCATATGAGGTCTTTTACGCATTTCCTGCATCTTTCCGTGATGGGATTTTTACGATTTAAGTATGAATGCATAATCCACTTCTCACCAGCGACTTGTCAGGTGAAGAAATTAATGGTCAAAAAGGGCAGCCTTGCGCTGCATAGGTGCCGACTGGGACCGGGCTTGTGATGAGGTTTTTATGGCATGAGGTTTTTTACGCTCTTTGATTTGGTAGAGCTCTTGCAATTCATCATATACTTTGGCCTGATGAACTGGATTTTTCACCTGAAGCTTCAGGTCTTAAGGGTATTTGGTTTGGCTTTTCGGAAACTCGGAAAATTTTTCACCCTCATGCTGAATGTTCGCATCACCTTGGGAATCTTTGTTTTTCGTCCTAATGTTCTTGATTTTACATTCGCCGCCGGAATCCATTCGTTATGGTCCTCTAGATTAAAACCTAAAAAAAAAAATAAAGCTTTCGTAATTTGTTTCTTCAGATTTTACATTCTGGACTTCTTTCAAGTGAAAAAGGTTATAAAGGCGTTTATGATAGTCCAAATTTTACTTCTTTTTTTCAACAGTTTTTCCGCCAAAAATGAGTTTTGTTGGACCTGGTTGTACATATATCAAATATGTACATATATTATATTTGCTTTATTCTTATATATATATGATCTCTACGTAAGTGAAGGAAACAATGAGTATGCAAATAAAAAGATCCTTTTTATTTTCTCTTAATGTTGTAAAGGATATTTTAGTATTCAACATAAAATCATTTTAACATTTATATGCGAAATGTTATGTATACGGGTATAAATTAAAATGTTTTGTTAAATTAATGGTAACAGGCTGTGAAATGTGAAACTTACCACTTTTGAGAATTTTGTCCACCATTCTGATACAATGACTATGATTTCCATTTGCCACAAATTGAAGAGCGCTCTGTCCTAGTCCGTCCACAACGTTAACATTACAACCACGCTTAATAAGGTACTCAGCAATTTCAAAACGCCCCTCCTCCAGCGCCAACAGCAGCGGTGTCTTCCCCGATCCATCAGTACAATCGATGTTTGCTCCTACAGGAGATTTTACATGCATTTAAGATAGAAATAGAAAGTTCATATTTGTTGACCGAGACCACCAAAAACACAATCGACTTAATAAAGACAATGTAATGAGTAAAACTTAATTATGTATTTGAAATTTGAAAAAAACAATTAAGCGTGTAAATAACATGTACTTTATAAAGTGATCAGTCTCTGAATAATCTATAAATTTCTACATTTTTTATTCGAATCATAACCTATTATACCCTATGATGTACACATACATGTATGAAGGTTTACAACATTTGTCTTGATTCATTGACATGGGCAGTTTTACTCATACGTGTTTGTGATCTCCACATGCCCTCAGCTAGGTGTACCTTATATATTCAAGCTCATGTCATGTACAATAAAGTTGACCCAATACCCTATCTGACCTACTGATCATGAACTGACTCTATGACTTGCTGACCACTAAAAATATTTAACATGACAAAGAATAGTCTTATGATAAAATCCATCTGTGTCTTTGTTGTACATTGTCTAACCTGCTTTTATGAGGGTCTTCACAAACTCCATGTCGTCCAACTCTACTGCAATTAGCAACGGAGTCCGGAGATCTTGGCTGCGAATGTTTATATTGCATGTTTCTGCAATTGAAAAAAAGTTAAACACCATTCACATAATTTTTTTTCTAATGTACATCAGTATATTAAACTGGGTTTAATAGAGACACAGTTCTATGCTGAAGAAAGAAAGAATCCATTATGGCATGGAGGTTATTGGGGTATTATTGGTAATTCACATAAATAATTTTATGCCAGAAAAACTTTTAAACAGCTAATTACTTGTACAGAGAACAAATATTTTTTCTCTCCAAATTTATTATGTTAAAAATAAAATATGTTATGATGGAAATTTTAATACATGTATTCTAATGTGGTGTTTACTCTTGTTCTAGGAAATCAAGCAGCATTCAACGATTCAGGATTGTCACTTACCAAAAGACAAGAGTATATCCATCATTTCATCATCCCCACTGATAATGGGAAGAAAAAGGAGCGGATTTCCCTCTTCATCGTAAATATTTGGATCCGCACCAGATTTCAGCTGCTTTTTCACTGCACTATAGTCACCTTTATTAACAAACTTTACAAGTTCTTTCTCAGAAAAATTTTTCACTTCCATATTTTACGCTGTAATTGAAGATATTATGGAAATACGTGAACAAGGGTCAGTAGGACAGAACCAGAGAATAAGGAAACTAAGACTGTCAAAGGTTAAATCATAACGCGTTATATACATGAAGTGACCGGTAAAAAATCATGGTTAGGAGGCGCGACGGTTCCGCAATGTGATTGGCCCAGCCCTCTGATGGTGGCGCTTCTGACAGTAATATTCATTTTTTACGATTTTCAATTAATTTAATGGTCTTTCTCTCCTTTTCCACCGAGAAATATAACGTGTCCTAATTAGTAGAATAATTAAAAGAATTTCTATGTCTTATATGTATGTCAAGGTAGTTGTAGTGACATCGTTCATAGATGGCTGGTTTTTATAGTTTCTTATATAATACCATCTAAAGTGTGGCATGCTGAGGACATGTGCATTACTGGACATTTATTTTTAATACCTAACATTAAATTGTTTATTTATCTTAATTATTGTTCAAAATTCATAATTGAAGCGTCTGTTATAGCTTATGATCAAACGTTTAATTTTGATACAAATTGCCTCTCCTGGCGTATTGCATCGTAAGATCATAAATGTTTTAAAACAATATGAGCTGCAACTTTGTTGTCAGAAATTTTTGTTGCAAAATTGTAATTAACTATTTCAATGACAGAAAAAAAGAAAGTTATAAACTTCTGTTGTTCATATTTGCGATGGAAGAACTATTTATAAGGTTTGAATGAAGCAAAATTACATTATTGTCGTCCTGTACAATATTGATTTCTTATATAATATTATATATTTGATTGTATAGAATCCTTTATTCTGAAACAATTTGATACTTTATTTTTGTCTAATTGATCAAAAAGGTTTAAATTACATACAAATGTATCATGATAACACATTTTAACAGCAAAATGATATTCTCAAAAATGCAGCTCATATTGCTTTAAATTTTCGGTGTCATTTGACAAAATTGTCCCAAATGTGTTCAATAGGGCTTAATTCCAGACTTCGAGCAAGCCATGGTAGTGTTGCAACTGACTCTCAAAGCAACAACAACAAAAAAAATCCTATACTGCAATTGTCATCCATAAACACTGAACTTGTTCGTAGAGGATGACTGTCAAAATGAAACGCAACGCTTGCAGGACGAGTATCTCTTTTGAAATTAATTGTGTTTATATTGAGGTTGCCTTTAACTGTAATAAGATCCTACTTACATGACCTTACATTCTAACTGATTCGTCTCATAATAGCATATGCAGAGCTAGGTTTTCCGCTTAGAGCCAAATTCCAACGATGGCAAGCTTCATCCATTACAAATGTTCTGCTTGTAGTTGGGTGTTAGAGGTGTCCCTTTATGGGTCTTCTTGCAAATAGCCAGATTCCACATCAAGCAATGTGGTAACTGTCCTTTTTTCAAAACTGAGCTTTTGACAGAACCGTTTTGTCTAGCCACACTTCTTTGTGTATTGTCCCTCCAAACAGATGTTTCGTGGGGTCTTCCAGATTTTGCACGATGCATCATTTGTTAATTGATAGTTAAATGGTGATGATCCACTTCATATTTACTATGGAAGAAAAGTTAATTTAATCATTCTAACTATTTATAGATTAATTTAAGAGCCAAAGCACTGTGTACGAAAATTGCAATTCTGTTGAAAATGAGTACAATAGTTGCAAGAGCGATTCTCAGCAAATAATTGAACTCTAGACAATTGAATACAATTATGTTGTAAAGAAACGTAAAGCACAAATTGTGTTTCTACTTTGGAAAGTCCTATAACGGAATAATTTTGGTGTGACATAATTTTTTTCAAGTATATATAATTCTCAATAAAATTCATATAATTCTACTCATGCAAACCAATTTAATCACGCCTATAAGTACAGCTTGGTTTCGGTTACATATATATTGTTTAATGAACATGATATACTGATAACAACAAGTGATTCATCTCATTGTTTTGCCATCAGTCTACCGTTATTCTGTTGGTGACAAATGAATTACTGTCAACACTTTGTTTTGTAATGTAGTAATTATACAAAAACAGACTCAGTACAGGTGAGTGGATTGTGCTAAGTAAACAACTTTTGTTATATAGACGTAATATACATATATATTTGTTACCTTAGGTGTACTGGATTCCAAAACTTTATAAAGTCCTTACAAAGATACATTTCAAGATCAAGTAAATGTTATCTCAAGCCCTACTTTTCTCTTCATGTATTAACTGTTATGAAGGAGATGCATGTACGTACTGTTTTCACATATGATCAAGAAATGTTTTAAATCAAATGTAGATTAAAAAACAATAGAGAACATTTTTAAAAAATTTGAAATTTCAACTTTTTTTAACATCAAAAACCATTTTAAGGTATGACTTTACAAAACTTCATACAAAACTTTATTTTCACTATAAATGAAAACCATACAAAAGAGGAAAAAAACTAGCTTCTTCAAAGAAATGGAACTCAAGACATTTTCACATCTTGTGAATGGTCATCTACAAAATTATTCTGGTAAAAATCATTCTGATTCTACACACTCTATAGTAACTGTTGATCTATGAAAAAGGAAAAGATAACAATCTTTGATCCACCTCATAAATCCTGCAAATAATATCAAACACGGAACAAAACACAGACCTCTGGGAACACTAGAGATGAGATCACTTACCTAGAAGGAGTAAACATCAGTAGAACGGTCACACTGGCCCTGAGCCATTTGTACTGAACAGGTAAACTCGATAGATCCTAAGTCTGCCACATCTGTTTCGTATTTGAATATTTTACTGACTATGACACTAATGGAAAACTAACAACTTAACTTCATCAATTTTCCTTACTTATATACATGTACGTGCATATTATATTTCCACATGGTGTTTATGTCTCCCAACCTATTCGGTCCGAAGAGCTTGTTCTGAGTATGACCATTTTTTAAAACTAGTCAGGCTACTGACAAATAAATTGATGATACGGGGCTTTAAACATTATCGTTTAAAGTCATTTTTAATTCTCTGGTCGTTAAAATGATTTTGTTTGCAAATACAACATATCGTTAGGTCGAACTTGACTGACATGTTTCATACTATAATTGTTATGTCATTGTTTTATATTAATTTTGGCTAAGGGTTACTCCGTTTACATAATGAATACAGAGGGCTGACTGTGGGTGTGATCGATCGGCAGGGGATGCTTACTCCTCCTAGCCACCTGACCCCACCTCTGGTGTTTTCAGGGGTCCGAGTTATTGCTCTGTGAACGATTTGTGCTGCTTACTAGTAGAGGACTAATGAGATTAATCACTGTTCAACAATTATCTTAACCTTTTTTATTTCTATAGCAACTATCTTTATTTTACATTTGTGCATTTATCTTTTAAATAAAAAAACACAAAATACAGTTAAATTTGACTCTTTTTAATGTCTTTTTGTGTACATTTGTTAATTTTTTTTACACATACATTCACACACAAACACACACCCTCTCTCACACACACACAGGGAGAGAGAGAGAGAAAGAGAGTTCACGCGAATTATTTCACGTTCTCAAGAATTATTATTTCTCATTAGCATACTCACTTTTAGTTCAATTTGGAAGATGAAAAAAGGACATCATAATCAAAGGCTATTTGTTTGTCCTGGTTCGTACTATGTTGTATTTTTAGTGCTATTGTTCTTTGGGCCAATTGGGTTACACCCTCTAATACATTTTGCATTTTATTATATTGCCTCTATAGACTGGTATTGACTGGTATGAAGTGGTGATAAAACACAAGCGATTATTTGCATTGACTCACCGACTGTCTACACATGATACACCGTGTCCATCTGATGACATTTTTTGATAATAATTTTGAACTGACAATTTCATATTGAGTCCTAAACAAAAAAAAAAAACATCTCTGGGATGCCAAAAAAAATCATAACTGAAACATAAGTGAATACTATATTGCAAAACTAAATAGACAAACTGTCTGAATGTTTCAGCGTGACAACATTTTTTTTCAGCCTTTCCCCTCTTTAAAATTTTTATTTAGTTTATTTATTCTGAATATTCTGTCTTTTTTTTTTAATTATTCGTATATATATATATATATATATATATATATATATATATATATATATATATATATATATATATATATATATATATATATAATTTATTTGTTTATTCTCCTTATATATTTATTTATTTGTTTGTGTAATTATGCATTTAATATTTTGTTTTTTAGGAGCGAACATTAGCTCTATTATGTTCACACATTTGTTTTTGTTTTGTTTGTTTGTTGTTTGTTTGTTTGTTTGATTTTTTGGTTTTGTTTTGTTTTTTGTTTGTGTGTGTGTGTGTGTGTGCTATTTTATCCGGGAAAAGTGGCTGTATATTTGGAACAAAACCATATCTGAACAACATGTATTACATAAACAATAATAAAGTGCATATGCCATGCACAGAATGGACAAGATATGATGAAAACTGGGAATACTTATATGCTCTATTAATTTGAACCTCGGGTTTAATTCAGATTTTGACTTCCGTGATTTTGACAACAACTTTACATGATACACTTACTCATATATTTCCTTTTCAGGAAAAATTCGCATTTTACAAGTCACGATATGTAAAAAAAAATCATTCCGATCTCTGAATATTTTAATTCATTTGTTAGCATTTAAAATATGTCATATCGAATATCCTCAGCGCTTTTATCACTTGAAAATATAGATTATATAACTCATTTTCGTGAGTAAAGGAAGATGAGAGCATCTGCATGGGAAATAATAATAAATATTTCTGAATTCGTGTCAAGTACCCTTAAAATTGTGAACATGGTTGATCGACTGAAAATATACATCTATACCAGAATATAAACATTTCCATGAGGAAAAGCGTTGGAATATTTTCTCTCGTCCTGAGCCCGATGAAAAAATTAACAAATTTGACAAGCAAATGGGGAGTAACTGTCATTCATTTTGCCAAAATGGATGTATTTGAACTCGGTTTTCT